AGGGACCTACAGCGATCATCTAGTCCAACTGTGAGTACTGCCGAGTACAGATCCCTCACTGGATCAAATATAACGAGCAGACAGACGTGGCCAGCTTGCAAGAGTGAGACAGTTTTGTTTGATGCACAGCCATACCAGACCTAGGTGTGACAAAGAAATAACACTGCATTGGAAGCACAAGCTGGTAGGAAACACTGTTAAGAAAACTCTGCCATTGAACTGCGGACAGGAGAGCTCGAGGCTGGCTGCTCTGAGTTTATAAGCAACAGGACCACTTCATTCCGGAAGGTGGCACTAATGGTCGCACGACCGACCCTGGCCAATGCTTACTGGATTTTTAGCAGTCAGTTTCTAGGGCTTGAGAATAGTATTCCAGTTAAGCAAAGCTTTGACTTCCGCTTTGTGCGTCTACCACAGACACAAGCCAAACTACCGTAAATTTGTCAAAGCCAGGACTTGTAAGTCTCAAATGCCAAAAAGATTTTAAAAGTGGCTAACTATTGACTTCTAGGTTTGGAGAAACAGCTTTTGCCAAAGGCACAGTTGATCCAACTAATTACTACAGAAGCTTAAAGTGTGCATCCTAAATATGCATATTACAATGTATGCGTGTGCACCTGCAATTATTCTTATAATGGAACTGCTGCTTGTTATACCAGGTTTTACACCTCAAAACAAGCTGCAACCTCATCTTTCAGAATCCAAGACTGAAAGATATAGCAGAAGTGATGTTTAAAACCCAGCAACATTTGACCTAGACTCCAATAGAACTGTAACTTCCAGTGGGTTATTTTTGAGGAAAGACACTTAGGAGGATAGGGCTGGATCATCTACTGTTTGCAGTTTAAATATTTACCTGTAGAACTAGTCCATCCAGCAGTGTCTGGTACCTGGCAGCATCCTTCACCACCTTGGCAAGTCTCTGCTTGGCCTCATTCAGCAAATCCTACATTCAGAAGAAATCAGATCAGCAGAGCCCATCTGTTTGGCATTTGGTTTCATGCCTAGCAACTTTCTGTACTCCTATTATAGCTATCACACCCTGCCAACACGTAAACGTACACTCCAGCTGGTGTTCATCCAAGCTAGACCTTCATCACTGTGCATGGCACAATATCCTTTCCAAACAGTTCTCTTCTCCCTGCCCTGATCTGAACTCCATTATAACCTGACAACAATTCCTTTTTCATCAAAAAGTGAGACCTCATCAGTAAAAGGATAGTACTTATAATGCTAATTCAGACAGACAAACTAGCTATGTTGTAAATCATCGCCTAATGTAAACTAATAAAGTTGTCCAAGTAACATCTTTCAGCTTTGTGGTTGAGCAAAGAAATCTAATCTTTTTATCAAACAACATTCAGGTTCACTATTTTTTGATCGTAAGTAAATGCAAGTCAAAATTTAAAAGTGAGAGCTTAGTTTTAATTTGAAGTAGCTGGTTTTGATTATCTTTATTCAGCAAATCAGTATCAGACGGGATTGAATTTTTAAGAAATTTGAGTCAACAGAAACACAGCTCCTAGAACTGAATCACCATAATTACCTCACATACAGAGACTGTATGATTCGATATAAACCTTTCTTTACTGTCCTGCCTCACGGTGTTTAAAAGAAGGGTGAATGTTAACACAATCAGTACTAGGATATAAGACCATCATTTGTCATGATCAAGCCTAGTTATACTGTCCACCCTAGAGTAATATAGCGTTTCTAGAACTGTGCTGATCTCTCTTGTTCAAGAAAGAGGCCAAAGATCCAATATGGGAAGAATGAGCTAGCTAGCAGCATGTGACTTTAAATGTTTTAAAATGAGGAAGAGTGTTATGCATTACTCAAGAAGCATGAGGTTGAGTCAGCCAATAAACGAGGAAGAGATTACCCAACAGAGACTATCACAATAGAGTTTGCTCTTCAGCCACCCACCTTCCTCCTCTCTGTGAATACAATCTACAGTTTGAAATCAGGTTTAAAAAACCAATAAACTGGTGATTTTCTCCTACTAACTCCCCTTTTTCATGGTAGCATCAACCTGAATATCGTCAGATATTTTATTTTTGACTTCTACAGGTCTCTCAGCTTTTCCAATAGCTCAACAGCACCATCTAGCAGAATATGGAACACAAACTGTTTCTGAGATGAGGTAAGAGATAATAGGAAACCTGCAAGCTGTGTAATGAGCAGAATGAGACTACACTACACGTGCTGTAAGATAAACATAGTCAGCCTGAACTAAGACTAAAGGTAGCCTGCTCTGATAAGTGATCACTCAACCTGCAGGTCAACACACAGATTTGTCACCTACTAGAACAAGAAAGAAATCTTTTCATATACTACAGGCCACTAAAGTAGACAGAAAACCCCAGTTAGTGGTGTTTTAAGCATACTTGCTTAAACCACGCCAGCTTTAATGCATAAATGTTGCTTCAGACAAACAGAACTTCAAAGTTCTACCAACTGTACAAGAGAAAGTTCCTGCTCTTTAAAGAAATAAGCTATCGTCCAAATGATAAATACAATGCTGCCTGCAATGTCCCTAGCAGAGAACTGTAAAAAAGTAGGTAAAGGCAACTGTGAAAATAAGCTAAAGCAGATTAGTGAAGCAGGACTAAATCCTTAGTGACTTTTCAGAGCAGCTGGGAAAGCCATTTCTGTACGTTGAAGCAATCATCTCTCAATCACAAATCACATTTTTCTTTTAGAGAATGGTCAAAAACATTTCCTAACAGATGCCAGAAGTAGAACCTCTGTGTCTTTACCACAGAGATACTCACTGCAATAAGGTCATCCCTTGCCTTGAGGACCTTCAGTCTTGCTTGATTCATCAAGTTGGACATCTGACTGCAAGTTGCATGATAAAGTTGAATCAATCCATCAGACTTTGACAGAAGAACTGCAACATTTAACTGCATACTTTAAATATAAAGATAGCAATGCTACAATATTTAATAACAAAGCCTGTTCACCTGTTTGAATCTGTTTCTGAACTTGCACAAGTGATTACAATGCAGAACGCCATCCTTCAGTAAAGACCCACGAAAACTAAACCTGACATGATCATTTGTCCCAGAGTAACAGTCTAGGGTAGAGTTCTAGGCATTAACTACATAAAGGTGAAAGATTCTTTCATCTCACTTACTAACAGTTATGCTATTGTAGCTCACCTTTGACAATTTCTCTCCAGAAAAAAATAGAAAATCATAATCAGAACAAAATACATTAGCTACATTTTTTTTCTTTTTGCCAGAGAAAACCAGTTTGTATAAAATTAGCAATAAAATGAGAGTTCAGGCTCTGAAGCCAGCAACTTACATTTTCTTTTGCTGTTCAATTTGTTTCTCTTTCTTTTCATAATACTCCATGATTTTCAACCTCTGTGTCTGAACAAGACGACCCTTCTCAATGTTGAATTCTTCTTCTGCCTATAGTAAAAATTAAATAACTGAAGTGGAATTTGATTCCATGGGCTAGAAAAAAACAGAATCCAAATGAAATAGCCATGTTTTCAGAGCACATTCACAGATAAGCTAGGATGATACCATTTATGGTTCCATATAAACAGATCATTTCAATCAGTACTCCAGTCAAAGGGAGTGTGTTCTGCTGAACTAGAACCTTGCTAACTAAGATACGGCTTATTTTATTAATCGACTAATACATATTTCCTTGCAGTATTTATTCCTCGCAGTATTTATTCCTCAGGCACATAATTATCCAATTTATACATTATATACTGTTAAGCAAAACTCATTTTATCTGAGCTTTAGGTCTGATTTGTTTTGGTAGAATCGGTCTCTTTTCTGGCTACAAAAGATTCTGTCTAAAACAAGCTACCCAGCCCTCAGTGTCCACAAACTTCATTACTTTAAGCAATTCTTACACAAGAAGAGTGACAGTGACTATAAAAAAGCTATCACTTTTCTATAAAGCCTAGCCAGGCAGTATGTGAAAACGCATGGCAATTTTTCCTATTAATACCTAAGAATCCAATCTCAACTTCTGCCTGCTGTTTGAAGATCACCAGGAATACCTGCTTCAGTATTGATTAAACATTTGTGTAGATCTAAATGCTTAAGGGAGACTAAATGCTATTAGTAATACATATGCTGAGTCCAATACCAACAAGATATCTCAGTATTGGTATAATGCAGACTGTTAGGGTTGTAAGGCACCATTAATGCTTCTTCAGTAAAGATCCATATTCTGTCACCAGGTTTAATATTAAACTCAGTCTCTTGCAGGTTAACCTAGGTGACGAATTCTCCAAGTAATTCAACTCATGCCTTAAATAGAAATTTATGTTTTAGCTCCCCAGGACACCTACTAAATCACATCTAGAATTAAGTCTGCAGGTGGCTGCACAGGTTTAGGTACAGTTGTGAACCTGCTTACAAACTAACTCTTCACCAACATAATTCAAACAGTTCAACTTTGATCTTTTATCATTTTGGTACACGTATTATGAATGCTTGTGCAAATTACTAGCATTAATGCTTTAATTTACTCCTAATGTTTCTGCCTGACATGCCTCGGGAGTCCAGCAAAAATGAAAATTAAACCTTCTGGTAATAGCTTGTTATGACAAACCTTAGCAGAATTGATAATTATGCCGAGAACTCCTTTAATCCTCAGTGATGCCAAGTTATGTATAGGAGGTAGGGGAAGGTGTTCCACTTAATGCAGACTATTCACATTAGCACTCAGCTCTCCTGCTTCCTTAAAAACAATGAGTGAACTTGCATATGAATAAACTTATATTCAAGAACCACTAAGAAAACTTTGACTAAAAAAGAGCTCCAACTTCTTTTCACTTGTCAAAAGCTAACAAATATTAACTTTACTTGTTAGCATCATTTTTTGCTACTTAATAACTAAACATGAAGTAAGCTGTAGCTTACAAAAGTGTTCTAGGACTGCTCTGACTGCAGCTATCAAAACAGGATGTCAGATGCAGCTTTCCTTTTGCACTGACTGACATTGAACTTCCATTTTTACCTTCGCATCTATTTCTTCAGCCTTTTCATTGGCTTCCTGCTCAATGAAAGCCATCATATGCTTGATCTGTAACAAGAGAGAGAAAAGAAAGTATTTTCTGTTGGAAAGGACTTTGATGAGCGGCAGTATGTATATACTCCTAATTTGTACAGTAGGCCCCTTCATATCCATTTATGGATTCAATGTTGTTTTTCAAGGAAATTAAATTGCGCATACAGGTCAAAGAGCCATCTTGATACCGACTACAAAAAAAATAATTTTGTTTTTCGAAGAAGTCTACATAACACTGTTTCACTGGCTGTCAACAGGAAAATGTACTTTACATATGCAACTATACAAAAAACAAAACAAAACAAACAAAAACAGACCCAAAAAGCAAATTTGTCTAAATGTGAGGCTGAGGCTGGGCACTTTGACTCTTCCCTAGTGAGAACAACTTTTTTTTCCTCCCAGGATCAGTGAAAAAAAATTTTAAAAATGCCACTATGTCGTTCAACTCAAAATGACTTTTTATAAAGCAGTTGCATGTTAGTTTGGAGGAGCTGGGGAAGGAGACAGAGATAGCAGCACTAGTTGACCAAGCCCACATCAAGCATGTCACATGCTGCTTTACAGCCTGGCATCCACTGATACAGTCTACTTGAAGAACCTTTTTGAAACCACCTCAAAACACTATAAAGCACTCATCCAACAGCTTAAAGACAAGGAAAGCAATTATACTGAGTTCTGCTTATTTATCACATGCTTATCTGTGACCAGGCCTAAGTTTAGGTTCATGTTTGGGGCAGACCATAAGGCCTCATGCCCAAACTGCACCTTTTGTAATTTCCAAAGGCAGATGGAATGGACCACATACTTGAGTGGACCATAAAAACCTACTGCCTTTTCCCTTGCACTTAGTGAAGAGATACATTTTGCAGGCAATCTGGTCTGACTAGGCTTGCACAAAAGTTTCTATTTAACTTCATGTTAAAATCAAATATTTAAAGGAGGTAAGAAAGGTGCCAACGTGCAGAACCGCACCATGCCCGTATAGATGAAAAAACAGAAGAGAACAGACAAGTGGAAGATTTTAAGCAGGCGCATTGGAAGAAGCAAACAGTATCATCTACATCCTCAAAATCAACCCAGGAATTTTTCTTTTAATTCCAGTTTGCAACACTTCCAAGTACATGTCCACCTACAGCATCAGTTTCCTGCCCTGCTCACCTGATTAGATGACTGGTTAAACCAAGACCTACCTGCATTTCAAAAAGGACAAGAGAGGCATACAAAATAAGGAAATTATTTTGCTGAATAGCCTATTGTTGAAGGAGACTAAGAATGTCTATATAGCAGTAGTAACCCTTACATTACTGAGTCGCTTCCTCCAGTTCAGTTTGATTTCTGGATTTTGGAAAAGTACTTTAAACAGTTCCAGGTGTTTAAGAATCATCCTCTGCATAACAAAGAGGAATAAGATGGAAGCAAGCTAATATGGCATCTATTTCCCCCAGTCTGACAAGACTGAACAGTGTTTCTTCCTTCAAAATCTGTTGTACCAAAATCCCTTTTTGTTTTTCATAGACACGAAAACAGATCTGAAGTGAGACTTTCACATCTATAAATAGGATTAGTTTCAGCAACACTGACAAAAAGATGTATTTTTAAATGAGAGATTAATTTTAAATGAAGTTAATAAATTTAGCATAGTAGTGTTTCCTACATAAAGGAAGAGAGGGTTTTTCCCATCAGTAGTAGTGTGATTATCCTTTCCATGGGAAGTTCTAGATGTTAGACTGGCTTTAGCGGGAAGTGACTAGCCAGATTAGACAGAACAATCTATTAAACAGCTTTGGCAGAATAAAGCAAGCAAGTCTATCAATGGGGAAAAAAATCTTACTTAGAGATGATTTTCGGAGTGAAAATTATTGAAACTACCATGGCAAGTAGTTAAGAGTTCAGAGAACAAGTTGGCAAGTTCATACTGGATTTACACACACGTAGAACTGTCATGCCATCAGCAGCATTCTCTTTTCCAGTCAACAGGATTACCCGAGGTTCAGAAGTGCAAAACAATGACAGGGAAGTTGCAGATGTGAAATGCTATCAGCACTACATGTTTAGTGTATCAACAGATCCTGAATGAACCTTTGAAGTTCAGGACGACGGTGGCTGAGCAAGACAACACCAATATTTATAAAAATAAATTATTTTTATTATCGCCATGGAAGAGGCAGGAAAAAACAAACAAGCTTTGTGGATAAAACACAACAGAATGTAATGCTACAATTCCTCTTTTGGAGAAAGGCAACCTACTGATTTTACTTTCAATGTGATACTTCCTTGCCAAGAGACTATGTTTACTGAATGAGAAAGTGAGACATGAAGCACTTGTGATGCAAAGGACGAAGGAAACTTGGCTGATCTGCTCATCACCTGCAGGAAACTCCATGGACCAGTGCTGACTGGATCTGTGCAGTCTTTAACATGGCACACCATTTCCAACCCAGCTCAAAGCAGCTTTTTTAGGCAAGGACAGTGTTTACTGTCAATAAGGACAAAGTGTCCTGCCTCAGGAGGAAGTGTCCACAGTCAGACTGTAAGTTTCCATTACAAGGGAAGTCTAGGTTGCACTACTCTGCTTAGGATATAAAACTGCTAAAGGCATTCGAGAATGCTGAATAACCTTTAAATTCTCTGTTACAGGTAATTAGATGTAGTATAGCTGTAACAAAAAAAAAGAAAAAAAAAAAAAAAGGGAAGTCCTTAGAGAGCAACGTCTGAAAACACAGAACTTTCCTAGGGCAATGCATTTATCTGCCTTAAAGTGCAATTAGACACTGTAGATAGCACAAAAGCTACTCACAATCCCTTTCATTATAATCTGGTGTAATATCACATCAAAATGCTTCAACGAAGGTCCCCAATAGGTGGCCAGTCAATCTCACCAGGGAAAAATCCACTTTTTTCGGAGACTCCCCATTCTCACTAGGATTCCCAAGGAAACCCTTTCCCCTTCACCAGCCCTGGCTTTCCCAGGAGAGCGCCGCTGCCCGGACCGCTGGGTAGGAGGCCCCATTGCACAGCTGGCGGGTGAAGC